GCCAAGCGATCGTTTTCTCGGCAGCAACCATTGTGTGGTCCTCTTCATTGTTCTTTATCAGCAGTTCTTTCGGTCGATGCGTCGTCGACTTTCGAAAGCAACCGTTTAGTGATGAATGTGTGAGTGCTGATCACATTTTGCGTCCATTGCTGCAATGGAAGCGCTCTGACCCCTGTTGGCGTAACTGCCATAAAATGAAACTGAAGCTTAGTTTTAAGATGTATTGTATAGTGACCAAGAATCCTCGGCTCTGTACAGTTAAGGCTTTTTAAAGTGCATCATAAACTCCCCAAATACTCTGTTTAAAATTGAGCTTAAAAGATGGTACCTCAAAGTTAACAAAAGCCAAATTTATGACAAGGAAATCTCGATAGACGAAGTAGGATAAAAAATTCAAGTCGATTCCAGCAAAATTTACTTCTTTTGAAGAACCAGCACACCATCAACGACTGACCATCTGGCGGAGACGAGTAAAGTGAGCGTGGCCCTCGAATTCATAAAACAGATCTTGCGAATAGATGACAATCGAAATAACAACCGACAGCAAAGCACTGAAACTGTTAGTTGGCGGAGATTAGCTAGACTCCGATCCATAGCAGCGATTTTATTCGGCGAAAGAATCAACTCTTCGAAAATTTCATTCAAGCATACATTCCTGTATCGTTGGATGGGGTGCACTTCTGTTACCATCCAAACAGTATCGCAAACTATCTGATTAGCTGCTCCCAATCCATCAGGAGAAAATAACCTGGAAGAACCCTGGATCCCACAGCGCAACTATCGAAGATAAACAAACTTTAACGTTTAACTTTTTGCAGGCAACTTTGCCTCCATAAATGCTGCCATAAATCTGAACGGGTAAGGATGGAGCAAAATGGCTTTAGATAAATACAATTCAGCATGCAAGTTTTCTTCATAAAAGCCATTTTAAAACCTTATGAATTTGTTAAGGATTTCTTGAAAGCAAAACAACTTTTTCACAAATGATCCATGGAAATCATCTTTTATGCGACCGTCATGTTACAATTATTTTTTACAATCTTCGATTTTCAATCTATATTTCCTTGGATATAACTATAGTTTGGTAAATTTAGCAAAGAGCAAACATTTAAATACGAAATTCATTAAAAAAAATCTCGACCAAGCTCGATCTGAAAAATAATTTTGTTTTTTTCAGTGTAAAATAATTAGTCAAATCGACGTTATACGAGGGCGGACTTATTTTTTTCGATGTTTTCACGTACATTTCACAAAACATTCCATAAGACACTCAAAACTAGACCACTTAATGAGAACTATTGTAATAAATTAGGATATTCAACAAGATTTTTATACCATCAGTTTCTATTTTAATTATTTTGATAAGATCGGATTCATAAATCCTTTTCTATCTTGATTGATGCTTTCCTAGTGGATTTAGCAAGCGGCTAGGTAAAATGGCTCAGAAAGGGTTTTATTGTAGCTAAATAGCTTTTTTTTCAAATGGTTCTCAATGCGTTCGTCATACAATCTTTTTCAGTAAATCAATCTTGAAGAGCTTCGAGAATACACCCTCCAGAACCTTCTTCAGGGTGGACCAACTAGACATATTCTAGTCTTAATGAGGTTTTGGTGGATACATTAATGACAAAATAGCCTTTACCAGGGTTTTATAAATGTTGTTTTATAGCTGCTTTGTAGTATTTCATAAAACTTAAAATGTTACTTGGGAGATTTTAGCACTCTATAGCAAGTCCAACAACTCTTGAAACTCTTGTAATTCCAAGCACTCTCAGAAATTTGAATATGTTTGACACGTATGGAACAATGAGAACGAGCAACAGTCGTTACTTAGAATCCAAAAATCTCTAACTCCAAAAACTACGTCACAGAAAACTCCAGGGAAATACATGCTGCCATTGTAAACTGAAATAAATATTTAAAAATAAACCGGACGTGACCGGTCTTTGTAAAGATAGCATATACTGAAAGCTGAACAGATTTAGTAAATGTTGCTTATCAAGTAAATCTGCAGCATAATGTCTGAGGGAGAAATGTATCAATTCCCTAAGTCTGGAAACACTTTCCAAATAATAATAAAAAAACATTGATATTTGCAACTTAAACTGGACTTCTGAAAAGTCCGATAACGCTGAATAAAGGTCGCGTTGAGATTGTATCGTCTTGGTGTCCTTATGAGGAATAAGTGCGCCGAATACATCAAAACGGTTTAACGCATACCCGAAAATTTTTGATACCCTTTCGCACTGATAACAGACATCGGATCACAACCGATGCGGTTTTGCAAATCAGAATCCATGTTTGAGCGTGTGTTCGGTTTTGTTAGTATACTCAAAACCATACCGGGTTCAAACGAATCAGAGAGGATTGAGCTAGTTTAATTGCTCAAAATTTATTGAATAAAATTGAAATATCGGCCTAAATGCCCCTAATTTGGACCCATACATAAATTCAGCAATCGACTAAATTTTCAATACCGACCAAAAATATACATTAAAGGGTGTCCACGATGAAATTGCCACACTATGAAATTGCTCTAACTTTTTAACCGTTGGGTAGAATTTAATGAAAATTTGGGTGGATTTAGTTCATAGTGCATTATTTACATCCTGCAAGTTTTAAAGTCCTGTGATCAAAACTCGCGGAAATGGAGTCGAAAGAACAGCTCGTGCGTGATAAAATCTTGCGCATTCATCACGAGAACAATGATCTCTCGCATCGTTCCATCGCTAAAACGTTGGGAATCGCGAATTCCACGGTGTCGCGAGTGATTAAGTGGTTCGAGGAACGGTTGACCACCGATCGGAAGCCCAGAAGTGAAGGAAAAAGTATTCCGTACAACACCAAAAATCACAACCGCGTAGTTGGGGCCTTCAACCGAAATCCGAACGCCTCCGTTAGGGATGTGGCTAAGAAGCTGCACCTAAGCCGAAGTTTTGTCCAGAAGGCCAAAACTAAGGCTGGGCTTCGAACGTTCAAGGTACAAAAGGCCCCTAATCGCGACGAGAAGCAGAACAAGTCCGCCAAAACCCGTGCCAGGAAGTTGTACCTCAACATGCTGACGAAAGTTGAATGCTGCATCATGGACGACGAAACATATGTGAAGGCCGACTTCAAACAGATCCCCGGCAACCTGTTTTTCACGGCCAAGGATAAGTTCAGCGTTCCGGAGCATGTCCGCACTCAGAAGATGTCCAAATTTGCGAAGAAATTCCTGGTTTGGCAAGCCATCTGCACGTGCGGGAAGCGGAGTGCACCTTTCGTGACCCAGGACACGATGAACGGACAGGTGTACATAAAAGAGTGCCTCCAGAAGCGGCTGCTTCCTCTCCTGAAGGCCCACAACGTCCCAACAATCTTCTGGTCGGATTTGGCCTCATGCCACTACTCCAAGGACGTGCTGAAGTGGTATGCGGACGATAAGGTCAATTTCGTGCCGAAAATGTTCAACCCTCCCAACACTCCGGAGCTCCGCCCCATCGAGAAGTACTGGGCGATTATGAAGCAGCACCTTCTTAAACGACCTAAGGTAGTGAAGACAGTCGAGGAACTGAAGAAAGTATGGGTTTACATGCAAAAAATGGTTGATTCACAGGTTGTGCAGAATCTTATGGCCGGGGTTAAGGCCAAGGTGCGGGTATTTGCGTATGGACTGTAAATAAAATACGAGTAAAATGGTAAAATGAAGTTTAATAGTTATTTCTCAATCCATGAAAATTTGATGGAAATCGGATGAAAACTCGAATTTTGCGAATCAATTTTGTGTGTGGCAATTTCATCGTGGACACCCTTTAGTACCGTCCCAATGACGCCTTCATCTAGATAAAATTGATAAATAGCAGATTTTTAGCAATGGGCCCAATATTAGATCCTTAGGCCAACATTAGAGCCATTTCCCCTATCACCCAGAAATCAATTCATATATCTCAGTCCACTATACAGATAGTTAAAATCTTTCATAGTCTGTTTGAAATAACAGCAAAAATATGAAAAACCCCTTTTGTGAAGCAGATTACCTGTTCTTTTTTATATAAACATGTGATTTTTAGGCCATAAAATTACTTGCAAACAAAAGGCATCAAGTTTCTCGTTACAAATCAACACAGATTTGGAACCTCAAACTACAATCCTATGGTATTGAGTAACTGTATATCGGTTATTTTCCTACCACTTCAAAAACATGTTTTTAGAAGAAAAAAAATGATCAAACTACGATGTTATGCAATCCAATGTTCACACGATAGTAGTAATACATTATTTGAGACCGCTGCGGGAGAAGCTGGCATTTGAAGGAATCTATACTTTTCAAAAGAAACTCCTTATTCTGTTATTGTCCCACACTCGGAATTGCACGAACCATCAAGTTAGGGATATCGAGTTACGAAGATAAATTAGTTTGGGAAAAGTAGCCATCCATTCCAACGACTTTGGGAGAGTGGATCGAGTTCAAGGGAGAGAGGGAGGGAGAGTTGAATTTAGTTTTGAAAATAATACACCAAAATATTGTTAATTCGAAACCATTTCCTAATAACACCACTCTAAAACATTTTAAAATCACTTCTGTTTATTCCATCTGGCACAATACTTTTCCACCATTTAACATCCCCTTTCAACACATTCCGCAATCCATTTGAGCACCCGATAATGTCATCCTGACTGTTTACCGACCAAACCACCCGCGGCATACGCTAGATTAGCACCTTTTTTCAAACTTTTACAGTGGCAAACAAATTTTCGACCCACAACACAACAAACATCCTCTTCACGGGTTGAATCTTCTGTGTCACCGTCCAAATTCCTCACCTCTATTCAATCACAAACACACGCGAAAATCAAATTCTCCATTCGATTCGCGATAGAATTTTTTCTCAAATTCCAACAAAAACCGTTCACCACCCACTGCCACCGGCCACATGCGCACCAACAACACCTTGACCATGACAAGGTCCACCGTAGTTTTCCTTCTTTTCCACTCAAAACACCATTCTTCAAATTCTCACTTCACTTCAGAAGGCTTCTTCAAACATCCAACGGAGTTTCTCCGCCGCGCGTTCGATTGGGAAACCGGCTCGATTCAATATTTGCGAAAGCTGGATCCAACCTTGTTTGCTTCTTAGCACACCACACAATGCACAACCACCACTCGCCACTGCAGCACCTGTACGCTTGATGCAAACACAGAAAAGAAAAGTTCTAATCAGAACTTCCGAAAGATCCTCGCGGGAAAACAACATCCGAACGCACCGGTCAATGTCGACTAACTGCGCACGCGTATCACCGGGAGAGCCCAAAGAACCCCACCGTGCGTCGTCGAAGCCGTCGTCGGAGCTGCTGCCATTCAGGATAAAGGATCGACGTCACAGCGACGGCCGCAACAACAACAACAACTACACCAACTACAACAACGAGCAACCAGATGAAAGAAGCTCCCTAAAGAACAATCACTGATAGAGACCGGGGGTCGATCGGTTTATCGGAATGATCGGTGAGCCGTGGTGGGAGGAGAGTGCTCAGGTAATGAGCAGCAAGAGTGTGGGTAATGAGATTGGTGTGCGATTTTTGTGCGATCGAGCGAGGATGAAGAACGCGACTGTCGGACGATTAGATAAAGCTGTAGGTAGGAAGCTCAGCGCCTGTCCCATCAAAGCCGTCCGTCGCGGTTCGGTACTACAGCAGACTCTAGACTCTGTCTGCTAGTAGTATGCCTCCAATAGTATCTGATAGTAGTATGTACCCAGAGCGAGCCGTCGTCGTCGGCAGTAGATCAACCATAATATAACTATCTGACAGACAAGGGCGGGCGGCGGGTTGTCTGCTGAGGCAACGAGCGGGTGGTGAGCGCCGGCTATTTGGAGGGTGGGTGCGGCGGGGAGGGAGTAGTAGAAGCTTTTGGGGTACTTGGCGCAGCAAACAAGAGAGCGAGAGATACAATAATGTTCAGTGGCGTGCGTAGAAGTGGAGTGGTGGGAAATTTGCAAATTAATTTTTCTTAAAACAACGGACAAGGGTGGCGACATAACCGAAATCTTTTATCTGGTGAACCTTAAATTCAGTTTAGTGAACCTATAAGGGTCCCATAAAAAACAAAATGCACCTAAACAGTGGTTCAAAGGCTTATTTGGGAGGAATTAATTGTTGCACTAGTTGCAGGTCAATAGTGACTTGGGAAAAGACATAAATTTATTTCAGCTAATCTTTTGATTCGGAAGACTGATGGTGAATTCAAAATATAAACCTTTTAATTATTTGAGTTAGACCAGCAGAATGTTCGACAAAGTTGTAGTACAATTTATATAAAGCAACTTTTTCGAAGAAATCAGTGAATTACCTCTAATGATTCTCGATAGGCTCTTTTCGTGCACCATCAATGTAGAGTGCGCTAGCCGATTTTGAGAGGAAATGTCATCCAATCTATTTGTTTACACCGCTTCAAAAATATAAGGAAGCACAAGCCGGTTCACTGCAAACCCGATACAGAAAACAAAATATTCCACGTGGATGATGATTTCAAGCACCTGCGGTGGATAAATTAATCAGGAAAGGTGAAAATATTTTACTCTTCCTATGCTTCACGCTGAAAATTTCCACCCGCATCAATCTTTTGAGGGTTCCCCTATTCACCGCTAGAGACTGATTCAATCGTTTAGTTTCTATAGACCTTTTTAATGTACCACCATCGTAGAGTGCGCCACGCGAGTTCGAGAAGAAACGTCAACCAAACCGCTTGTTTGCATCACAATAACTATTTTTCACAACGCAAATTAAAGCATTTTTAATTCAATATCTTGCCAATTTCCATCGGTAATTGTCTTATTGTACGATTTTCCACAGATCTGAACTGATTTGTACCTTAACTATTCACACACAAGAAATCCGGAAGATCATAACCACTAAGCTCGCCACTAAGGCACTTTTCTAATTTTCCATTTTTCTCAACAAAAATATTCCTGAACACCAGCAGGATCTTTGCAAAAACGTTACAGAATTAAATTTTTCAACTGTAGATCAAGTTTTGGAGCATCTCTGATAAATCAATTTATCAGGAAAAGTAAAAAAGTGTTCCGTTTCCTGTCTCACAGTAGAAATTTCTGCTCACAACACTTTTTTTGACGTTCACCTGTTCACCACCAGAGGTTGAATCGATCGCTTAATTTCTATTGAAAAGGCGTATTGGATTCGCCTATACTGGTTTGCAATAAATAACTTAGGGTGATCCCTAAGAACCGGAATGATCAAATTACAGGATAGCAGCTGAATTTCCATTTTAAAATTCTAGGATTTTCCCAGTTTTCCTGGTCAATGATTCAAAAAAATTCCGATTTCATAAATCATGTCTACCTAATAAATATAAATTTGTTTTGAAAATATTTAAAGGCTTCCATTAATTCAACTGCAAATTTGTATAAATTTTGGCCAAATATTTAAATCATTAGAAATTCAAACCGATTTCTTGACCAAAACACTACAAGAAACAGCGTACAGGACTACGTGGTCTTATAAAATAAATGTTATTTGTTAACTGCAGCAGGAGCTTGAGTTTTGTGTAGGAATAGGGATTTGAGCGGGGTTCTCCCTGTATGACTAAGTAGTATGACTTTAGTATGGCTGTGATTGCCCTGAAAGAACTTTTTGATATGAATTTTAGTTGGTACATGTTCAGAAATTCAACTCTTTTGGTGGCCCTGAAAAGGGTATTACAGGCTTAAAAAATTTGGGAGATCCCAAATTCTTCGGTTCAATGATTGGGCACTCGCAAGAGTCTCGGCCCATCTGCTGCTGGGCAATGGTTGAACTGGTGTCTGCGACAGTTTGGAAGGCCTCAGAATATCAGTGTCCACTCAGCTAAAGCTCCTCCCATTTTTAGTTTTTCTCGTTAAACTCCTTCTCTCAACAAGTTGGTAAATCTTAGCCTTTAGCAGAAAGACACTTAACACTTTTTCGGCGAATTTATTATTCTGTTTTACGTCATAGTTCTTCTCTATGCCTGTTCAGATAAATTAGTACTAGAGTAGAAATAATAAGGGATGTCGGTAACGCGCTTAAATAATTGAAAATTCGATAAATATTTAACCGAATAGCTGGAAAAATCTTTAATCTACATAATCGAAATCTTTTATCTGGTGAACCTTAAATTTAAAAACAACAAACCTAAACAGTGGTTCAAAAGCCGTATTTAGGAGGAATTAATTGTTGCGTCTGAACCACTAGTTGCAGGTCAATAGTGTCTTGGGAAAAGATTATCCATTTATTTCAGCTAATCTTTTGATTCGGAAAACTTATGGTGAATTCAAAATATAAACTTTTTAATTATTTGAGATAGACCAGCACGTGTTCGACAAAGTTGTAGTACAATTTATTTAAAGCAATTTTTTCGAAGACATGTTCAGAAATTTAACTCTTTTGGTGGCCCTGAAAAGGGTATTACAGGCTTAAAAAAATTGGGAGATCCCATATTCTTCGGTTCAATGATTGGGCACTCGCAAGAGTCTCGGTCCATCTGCTGCTGGGCAGGGGTTGAACTGGTGTCTGCGACAGTTTGGAAGGCCACAGAATATCAGTGTCCACTCAGCTAAAGCTCCTCCCCTTTTTAGTTTTTCTCGTTAAACTCCTTCTCTCAACAAGTTGGTAAATCTTAGTCTTTAGCAGAAAGACGCTTAACACTTTTTTCGGCGAATTTATTATCCTGTTTTACGTCATAGTTCTTCTCTATGCCTGTTCAGATAAATTAGTACTAGAGTAGAAATATTAAGGGATGTCAGTTACGCGTTCAAATAATTGAAAATTCGATAAATATTTAATCGAATAGCTGGAAAAATCTTTACGATTAATCGGTAATCGAATAATAGGACTTTTAGGCATCCCTAGAAAATAGTGTAATTTCATGTTTTTTGGTTGTCCTTCGAAAATGTCGAACAGCAGAATTGCATCCAGCAAGTGTAACCTATGAAACCAAAGCAGTGCGATGCTAGCTTTCATTGCTATAACGACGACTAAAGAAAGCAGAAGAGAGAAAGTCAATTCTCTTCATCGATTTCCTCTTTTGATGACCATAGCTTCACTAACCACTATTTCTGCTATGCTCTTCTATCATCCAGAACAACAAACGTGTCACTGAATGTGTTTGCCGTCGAGTTATTAACGAAACAGAAAGTCGATGAAGAGAATCGATCAAAATAACTTGCACCCCTGCTTCAAAGTTTGGTTACAAGATTACAACTCTGGAGAGCATTTTGTGTTGTCATTGGTTCTGAATATGGCACCCGAAGATCGGAGACGAATGCCACTGCAACTTGTTTCGTCTACTAATGACTTCCTGATGCCAGTGTTGGGAAAGAAGCAATGCCACATCGTCATGTATCGTCTAGAAACGATTCTCTGATGACTGTGTTGGGGAAGCAGCATATGCATGTACGTAATTGGTGGATTTGTTAGTAATTTCGATGCATTTGGACAATGATCGACATTTACCACTTTTTCAATAGTTTCTTGTTGAAAATTGGTTGTGGAGTAATCTCTTCTGAAAGTTTAAATTTTTAAAAATCTCGAAAATCCAGTGTTGTAGCCCAGAAGGATCCAGGTACTTTAGAGCAAAATCAAAAAAGGTGTTTTTTTCAGAATGCCAAAATAAGCGTTTTGGCCAAGTTTGGCTCAAATCGGTGACATCAACCACTTGAGCTGGAATGACCCATATATAACAATTACGCATCGAAAAAACTTGAACATCTCCGGTTTGCATAACACTCTGCATAATACGCCTTTTTAATAGAAACTTAGCGATCGATTCAACCTCTGGTGATGAATAGGAGAACGTCGAAAAGAGTATTGTGAGCAGAATTTTTTGCCGTGAGACATAGGAAGTGGCACACTTTTTAACCATCCCTCTTAAATAGATTCATCTGAGATGCTCCAAAACTTGATCTAAAGTCGAAAAATTTAATTCTGCATCGTTTTTGCAAGGATCCTGCTGGTGCTTAGGAATATTATTGTTGAGAAAAATGTAAAATTAAAATAGTGCCTTAGTGGTTATGATCTTACGGATTTCTAGTGTGTGAATAGTTGAAGTACAAATCAGTTCAGATCGGTGGATAATCTAAAGTAAGACAATTACCGATAGAATTTGGCAAGATGTTCAATGAAAAATGCTTTAATTTGCGTTACAAAAATCCTCATTCTGATGTAAACAAACGGTTTACGGTTTGGTTGACGTTTCCTCTCGAACTCGCCTGGCGTCCTCTAATTGGTGGTGCATTAAAAAAGCCTATTGTGTTTTATGAGCAATAATTCACATTTTTGTAAAAATTCGGCCATTTTGGATCTTGTATTTTTTTTTTTTTTTTCAAAGTGGCGTCTTTGATATTTTTTCAAGAAATTGTAACACGAAACCGTCACTTCTGATCGAAATGACGTCAGAGACAAAGTTGTACAGAAACACTTTCTGCGAAAATTATGCACGGTATTTTTTTTTTAATTTTAAGATTTTTTTTTTAATTGAAAACTCAAATATCTTAAAAAGTTCAAGTTTGTGAATAGTCAAATATGTACTTAAATTTTCATATATATATTTTTTAAACTCAAGATAGATCGAAGAAGGCTGCGCTTGAAGACTGACGTGTGAATTTTTGCTGCGTGTTTTTCTTCCGCTTATTTATCAATTTTTAATTTAATGCTGTAATGCTTGTAAAGTGTCGTGAAGCTTTTAAGTCAATGTTGAAAAGTGCTTAACAGAAACGCGTGTGAATT